CAATACGCAGGGACGAATGCAAATAAACACAAAGACAAGTGCATAGGCGTTAGATTCAGACACACACACACCACAGCATGACAATGTTTGCCATTAATGACCAGAATAATATCATTCATCTAATGAGGATGGTTAATTTTGAACTTTAAAGAAAGTACATTTGGCACAAGTGGAAACATTTATTGTGTATTTATGGACTCTTATAAGTTGAGTGAATTTATGCCCTGAAATTGGTACTGGACTGTTTCACTCCTGAAAATGCTTAAGACATTACATGACGCAAGTACATGAATACCTCAGCCACAGTAACCTCATGCCAACATCAACAATGGATTGCAGGACTCGCCAACCTCCCAGCAACACCCATCATCAGCCAATCCAAACACTTTAGGACCATATGTTATTCAGGGTTTAAATCTGCTTGTAACAAATGGGAATTACTGCAGGTATCACAACGCACATCATGGAAGAAGTGGATAAAACAGCAAACACGGTACCACCCATACATAAGCGTTTAGCAGATGATTGTGATACAAGAATCCTCTTAAAACATATACAAAGTGAATAAAAAGTGACAGCATCACTACAACAATTTCTGACAGGATAACTGATTAATCCAACTGTTAATGATTAACATTTCATACGTTTGATATTGAATAGGAAATAAGCCTCCTTATTGGAGAGGGAAGTGAGATCTTTTTGAAACTGAGCTGGCTCCAAGGTGATGTGCATGACAACAAAAAGTTGGAATTGAGTCAACCGTCTATGGTGGTCTCGGGAGTTTGTCCAGTTCCTGAGTTAGGAGGGTCTGCAGTAATACAAGACCCCGCTGACAACAGACTAGGTCACTTGCCTCAACATCAGGACTTGAAGGGGTAGAATCATCATTGGGAGCATAGATTCTTCACACATGGCTGCTATAAACCAACGTTCTAACGGATAGAATGGTCCCAGTTGACAAGAAGTTGGGAGCTTGCCGAACAGTACTGTCACTGGCAAGCTATGCATTTTTAGCTGGTTAAACTCCTACAGTACCCCAACATGCACTCTCGGTTTCATAAGCCTCGGTTCTTGCCAACCTGCACCTAATACTCTCTAAAATTAGGTGAGGAAGAAGCATCGCTCCAGCCAAGACAGAGGAAGATTTCCATGTGTAGGTGGCACAAGTGTGGGTCACTCTCAGTCTGGTTTGGATATTCTTTAGCATCGTGATAGATTTCTGCATGTGTCAAAACACCCAGCTGACTCTAAAAAAATAATTTTTCGGATAAAGGCTAACCCAAAGCTTCAGTGATATGAAGCACAGGTGCTTTGAATAAAGCTATTCACACGATGGATTTAGAATACTTAAAAGAGCACAGTTTGGAAAAGTTAAACGCTGCAAAATAAAAGGGTACTAAATAAACCTTACAAATATTGTGGTTGAGCACTCTGCTACAGTTTGCTAATGACAACAACATAATCATACATCCCATTTGAATCCTGCTGACAATTCAAAGTAATGGATGGAATGTTTAGCCAATTTTGAAAACACTACAGAAATATCAATGCAAATCAGATTAAAACTGATACCAGAGGCCTGTGATATACAAGTTAGACTGAGTTATTATTCTCTTCCTTGGAACAAACTCAAAACATCCCAATACGTGCCATGTCTTGCAAGATTCCAACTAAAGGAATACAATCTAGATTTGCAGCAGAGCCCAGTGATGTGATCTGGTAAAACAGACAGGTTCAAGCTTTGGCCCTATTAGTTTTAGGGTTGATCAGGTGGTGCTGCCTTCTAACTAAGGGAGGGGGGTGGTGGGTGGGAAGAAAAAGACACAGAAAACATTCATGGCTGGCACCTTTTGCCAATTGGCTTCATGGACATTGGTAGCTGCCTGGAAGCAGGTTCTGTGCTTTGCTGCATGCATTAAGCCAAGCGCTCAAACGAGGATTACATTTTAAAAAAGAGTGCAACAGACCTAAACTCTCAATAAAAAAAATAAAGCACTAAACCATACAAACTTGTACAGCTGATAAATCATGGATTAAAATGGTCAAAAACTGTTTTATTGAAAATACCACTGGCTCACCTCGTGCAACGAATACTAGAACACAAAATACTGAGGGCAACACAAGACCTGCATTAAGTGTACAATCATACACACTAATCCCTCCAGTGTTGCAAAGTAAAGTGAAAAAAATCAGGAGCCAGATACTCATTTCAACCACCAATCCACACATTGCAGAAGTTATAGTAACCCCCAAAACAGATCAGTCGCCAATTGTATTTTTAAAACACCTCAAAGAGGAAAAGAAAAACAAACTGACCACAACTGAAGTAACACTATTTTTTTTTAAATCCACATGTTAAGATTGTGGGGATTAAACTCTCAACTCAAAAAAATAAATTTACCATTTTTTCTCCTCCCACTCTACATTCCCAGGACAGGTACAAACCAAACTGGCACACTATTTCAATCCCACCCCAAAGAGAACCCCTAATCACACTAGTCTGACTGACCATTCTCCACACTAGTCATCGGTAAGGCGACAGTGAGATCATACAGATTAACGTTAGTTTTGTTCAGTACTTTCACAAATTTTAGGTTGAGTGTTTCATAAAATGCCATCAATGCTCATTTGAAGTGCGCTGAGGCCACAAGAAATAGTCAGCAGATTCCGAAGCAAAGGGCTGCTGCCTTTTTCAAACTATAACAAACCAAAATAAAACAAAAACAATAATAAATTGGTCATTTTTAATCCACGACTGTTTGGGGGACACTGCTATGCGCAACTCCGCCACCCGCATTCTCATCTCACTCGTACTAAAATCTGCACTGATTAATCCAGTCCTTGTCAAACTCCACCAGCTCTATCACAAAGTGGATCGACTTCAAGATCTTCACTCTAGTGTTTAAATCTCTCCATGTCTTGGCAGCCCCCTACCTCTTCAACCTCCCCTCCTCACAGCACTACACGCTGCCTCCACTCTACTGGCTCCAGCCTCCTCTTTGTCCCTCGAATCCTCCACTCCACCATCAGCAGCCGTGTCTTTAGCTAGTACCCCCCCAAGCTATGGAACTCCCTCCCTCAATCCCTTCGCCTTGTCCAACCTTTCCCCATTTTCAGGTTGCACCTGAAGACCTTCCTCTTCAACCATGCCTATGGTCCCTTTCCCCCTCCCCCAGTTCAGCATGAGGCTCCACCCTAGGACTCTAGGATGCCGCCCAGTGTGGAGGGAGCTATATAAATGCAAGTTGTTATCTCTTCATTGGAGCAGGATGAGAAAATTTGTCATGGAAGGCAAGAGTTACCTCCTCTCTGTCAGGTGCTCTGTTTGCCTCCATTCATGTCATTCTGCCTCATTCAACAGCATTCTCAACTCTGGGTCAAACAATTGTGGGTTTAGGTGAGATCGCAGACCAGGCTGATGCTTCTGTAAGTAATGTGAGTGCTGCTATGTTGGGCATTGCATTCTTTGGATTAAAGGGTAAAGCAGTTCCTTACCAACATTGTGCATATCCAAATTATTGTAGTCAAACAGTTTAGTTATAGTTTGAAAAAGGCAGCTCCCATTTGCTTGCCTCAATCCCTCTGACTCTTCCTCCTCTTTATCTATATTTCAACGCCACCTGAAAACCTAATGATCACCTCACCCTCCCTTTCCTGCTTGTTCAGCATCCAACCATTTTCTTTAGGTGGACTTTAGAGATCCCAAGGCACGAAAGGTGAAGGCACTTTATCCCATTGTCCTGGCCAACTATTGCCCAAATTAATTGGTCATTTACTTTTTGGCTATTTCTGGGATCTTCTTCACACAAATGTTGGACTACATAAACAGTCACTACACTGGGCACTCCTCTTGTGCAACAGATTAACACTTTTAGATGTTTCGACTGGATAAGGAGCTATAAAAATATAAGTTATTTTGTTTTCCCCTCTTCTATCACAGCCTTTCCCCATCTTGCTTCTTTCTTCTCACTGCATAATTGCCGACCTTGAAAGGGTTTTTGGTTCCTCAACTATGCAATGCTGGAGGGATCAACAAACCCTTTGAGAGTCCTTATATGGCTGGTGTATAGTACAAAGATCTTTCTTTAGTAATTCATGTTGAATAAGAACCACTCAGGTCTACAATTGGGAGAATTAATGAGCTTTCTTCATTGTACATTCATGACGACAAACAGTATATTGCTCCTCCTTCCTTGGCATGCATGTAGATCATATGATTCTGTAGCTCACCTGTTTTAGCATCATTCTGCTCTGACCCAGTTATTTTTTTTCGTGTGTTTAAATTACTTGCTGAAAAACTCCAGGAAACTCCTGATAACTAGACCCTGGCTTACCTTGTTACTACCACTTAATGTTGTCAATATCCCGGCCACCTGCTATGCAAAATGTTGGTAAGGAACTCCGCTTTACTTATCACTCCACTTAACACAAAATTGGTCGCATTTTAGAAATTTGTATAAGTATTTATAACTTGCCGTATAAGATATCATCGTCTTATAACAGTGTGCAATATGCAGTTCAAATACAGTTCGAACGTAGAATGCTATTCATCTTCAAATATATTGAAGGCTGCCTAAGACGAATAGCACCTTGTAACTCACAAAAAATACACTGATGATTCCTTTGTGTACATTATTAATTTAATGTCTGCTGGTTCAGATGGAAGTTAAAGATCCCAGGCCACTTTATGAGAAGTGAAAGGAGTTTCTCCCAACTTTGTGGCCAAGAATCCTCCAGTTAAAAATGTCATTCATCTCACTGCTTTGTTTGCGGGTCCTTGCAGGTCTAAATGAGTACCGTGTTTTGCCTACGCAAACATTCTCTACGTTGACATGAATTGCTTGTGAAGTGGCTTCGAGATATCGCAATGTGATGAGGCACTATAAATGGTAGCTTTTTCTTCTCTTTTATTAGCTTTTCAAAAACAAAATGCATGGCAGTGTTAGTTTTTAAATCATTATTTTTTTTAAAATCCTCAGAAAAATATTATTGCACTTTACCTCCAGCACAGGTCCAGCTCCAAGAATAATCTGCTCCACTCCACTGGCAAATCCCTTCTGGCTCAACGCAGTGAGATGATGGATGAGGAAATTTGTACTCTGTGTCTTTCCTGAACCACTCTCGCCTGAAATAACTATGCACTGGTTTTTCCTGCACTGTAACATAGCATGGTATGCCACATCAGCAATGGCATATATATGGGGCTCCAGCTTTCCCAGCGGGTGATTATCGTACATTTTTACATACTTGGGGTTGTAAATCGGCAGGAATTTGAAAGGGTTTATAGCAATTAAAATAGTCCCCACGTAAGTGTAGATTTTCTCTTGCTTGAATCTGTTGCGCAGGTTATCCAGGAGTGTTTTTTCATTTAAGTCTGGTAAATTGCACAGATCGTCGTAATCCTTCTGCTGAGGTTGGGGCAGGAACCCTCTCTCCATCATCCTCCTCCGCTCTTCGGTCACCTTGAGCCACGACTGCAGGTTGCTGTAATGGATGGACCCGTCCAGATTCTTTTCCCGCAGCAGGAAGCGGTAGTCCTCGCTGCTGAAGCGGTTCTCCAACGCGTTGCGAGGCCACAACATCACCCGCTGCACTGGGCAGTCCGTTGGGTTCAGGATCCACTCTTCCCCACCAAACTCCTTCACCTCGGCTAGAACGTAGCATTTTGTTTTGTCCAAGTGCAGTTTGTTGATGAGAATTTCTATCACCTCGGCTGCACTGGTGTTCTTCCTCGCCGTGACAGGGCAGTAGATGGTCCCTTCTGCGATGTTTCCTGGGTAGATCCGCAGCGTGAGCTCATTGTCCTCGTGTCGTCGTCTTCCTCCAACATCATGCACATTCATATTGGATCACTTGTGCCATCAGCATTTACAGAGCATCTGTACGGTGGGGCAATATTGCGTCATGACATCAGACCTGAAACACAAAAGGAGCGAGTCATACTCTCAACCAAACTGAAGACCTGCAGGATTACATTATCACATCCTGGGTCCCTATCCTACAAACATAAGACCGTATCGAACCATAGAAAATTACAGCTATAACAAGTAGGTATTGTAACATTTGTGAAATCCTTTCGACACTCATGAGGAACATCACATGTATACTGTGAGTGTCCTCCGTCGATCTAAATATGAACATTCTGCTGTTTAACAACACTAGATTTCAAGTTTATTTTCAACTCATTCATGACTTACTGCATTTACATTACCTCTTGCAATAATGAACTTGCAGTGACTCAGTAACTCCTCCGAGCCAGCTTGCTCAAATAATCAGCAGCGCTTAGCAAGAAAATAAACAGTAAGATAGGTTATTTTTTGTATAAACAAAACAAGATGCAAGTTTCCCCCCCCATTTGTTTTGCATTATTAATACCCTTATTCCCCTCTTTTGTTGCAAGAGGAGGACCGAGAAGGGGGCCCTGAGCGGAAAATGAAAGCAGCGTTTCCTCTGAAACGGCAATTACATTGTCTCTTTATGGTGCAACTTTTTTTAAAACGGGACAGCAGTTGAGTTACTTAGAACAGAAAAATTGCATCTAATTTGAATATAATCTACTACGTGGTAGCAATTTAGTAGACTAGTTTAGGAATTTAGTTGGGAATAGTGAAGTAGATCTACAAAACGTCCAATTTTATCTGCAAAGTTTTATGATGTGGCAATTGAGTTGAAAGGAAGCAATCGAAAGAGTGCAGGTATTGTTTTTACGATTCAGAAGTGAAACAGCAATGACATACGTTACAGTAATTGTTTTCTAGCTAATAGGTGGTGCAGTCATACATTGATAGGTAGTGTCTAGGCTTTTTGAGCCTACATTAGAGAATTTACTCGGAGCCATACTAAAACTTATCAAAATTAATGTTGATTGCTGTATGATGGCATCTAAAGTCATGCACCTGCACAGATAGGGTGGTGGTCAGCTGAGAGCAAGTGACTGACGTCTTGAGTTAGTTTTGAGTTTAAGATAAAAATATTTTATGTATATGCACACGTGTTAAATTAGTTCTAAACTAAAGCACTGCCATTTTACTATAGGAGTCTTAACTCTTGTGGAAGGAGAATGAGTAAGTAAGACAGTGATGGGGAAGGAGAAAATGATTTGGAAGCTAAGAAAAAAGATGGGGGTTGGGTGGAGGGTATGGTATCAACTTACAATTTTAAGCATGTCTTGCCCATGAATATTAGGCAGACGTCAGTGTTACTTGCTACTCATTTCAACAAGATTTATTGCAGAATCGTGTTAACATCTTGGGTTTCATTCCATTCACATATTTGAGTCTTGAATTTTTAAATCTAGGGCTGAATTAGAAATAGCCTGCATATTGTCTTCTATCATGTTCATATCTAAGATAAGGATAAATGCTGACCCATTTCATTCCTGTGGAGTCCTGTAGCTCAGTGGTTAGAGCACTCGCTTTGCAAGTGCGAGACCTGAGTTCAATTCCAGGCAGAGGGCGAAACCTTGGGCAAGTTTCCTTACTCCACACAGAGCCCAATAATAATCCCTCCAAAACCAAAAACAATAATAAATTGGTCATTTTCAATCTATGACTGTTTGTGGGACATTGCTGTGCGCAATTGGCTGCCGCGTTCGCCCACAAATATACAGTCAATTCACTTTACAGTGTGTACTGTGAAGCGCTTTGGGACGTCCTCCCGACGTGAAAAGCGCTATATCAAATGCAAAGATTATTATTATTATTATTATTATTATTAATTAACCCCCCCCCCTGTATTTTGCATCATAAATACCTCTTTAACCCACCATCCCCGTCCTCTACCCCATTTTCTCCTTTGTCTTCCTTGACCTGCCTCCCCTTTCTCTATTAACTCTTAAATGCCTCTCCCTCTCAATATGTCCCAATTCTGATGAAGGGTCGTGGACCCAAAACGTTGACTCACTTTCCTTTCTCCATAGAGGCTGCCTGACCGGCTGAGTATTCCCAGCAACTTCTGTTTTTTGTTTTAAGGTATTCTTTGCATTAATTTAGAGGAGTAATCCAGAACTGTGAAGCTCAGTCAAATCCTCTCTCACACTGGGCTATGCGAGCAATTCGCTGCTATCCTCGCCAGGCTCCACAGACACCTTGTTCCCCAGTGAATCAACTTCAAGATCCTTGTCCTGATTTTCAAATGTCACAACATCCTTGTCCTAACCTACCTCTGCAACCTTCTGCTTCACTCTCCCACCCCTTGAAATAACTCAGCCCTGCTTCATGTCCCCTTTGGAAGCCAAGCTTTCAGCCATTGTCCTCTTAAACCGAATGTATTTAGCACACAAATTTAACAGTCAGGGATAAGCTATTTTTCTTTATGTAAAAATATTATAGTTTAGATTGTCCTGATACAAAGCAATTCATTGCCTGTTAGTAATTAGGAAGATCAGAGTGAAAGCTGAGATCAGCCTACGTAGGCAGTTAAATGAGAGAGCAGTAACCACAGGGCAATGGAATACTACCAGAAGGTCTGGTTTGCAACACGGTTCCTGCAAATGATCAGTAATGAGAAATGATCATCCATCCAAATTAACACGAATGTTGTCACAAGAAGCAGTGCCACATCGACCCAATAAAGCCTCCATTCCAAACATCAGTTGCTCTGCTTCAATGCATCAGCGATTTACAAAACCTTTCCATGACCAAAAGTACAGTAACACAGCGAGAACCTTTTCCGGTACAAAAACAGAAATGCTAAAAATGCACAGCAGGTCAAAATGGTTTCAGATTTCCTATATCTGCAGTTTTTTTTATTTCCACTTTTTACTATCAACTGAAAAATGTCCATTCTAGTCGAAGTTCTTTCCCTGTAACTTCGGCTCAAAGTGTTGGTTTAAAAGAATGCCAACATAAACGCTCTGTTTGAAAGCACGTAAGGTTGGCTGCTTCGAATATACAACCAATTACATCAGTTTGGAAGCATGCTGGATTTAAAGCACAAAATGTCACTGATTCATCTGCAAGCTTGTGCTGAGACTTGGCAGGCCTGAAATTCTTCTTTGCTCAGACTCACTCACTCACACCCATACAGGAAAATCAAAATTTGTCTCACATCAACTTCTTGCTACCATAAGAATTCTCTCTAATATTTAATTTCTGAACACCAATTCATTTTTATCATTTCCTCTATAGCTAAAACAAGTTAAAAACTGGATGTTTTCCCATTTTACCTGGTAGCAGCAGGAAGGCTATTTAACCAGGAAACTCGTTGCAAATAAAAATCTATTTTTAACCAAATCTATTTTAAAGACCGTTCTACGTTCGATGGCCCTGAAAAACACCTGCAATGACCTTTTTTTTTTTGAGTGAGCCAGCTTTCTGACACATGTGAAAACTCATCACCATGCTTGGAGCAGGGAGGGCTAACTTGCGGCCTGTGGGCCACATGCTGTCGCATGACTAATTTACACATACCGTAATGTGGCCTGCAAGATGGCCAACCCTGCTTTAGAGCAGTCAAACCAAACAATTCTACGGATGACACCTACAAGTGGAAATTCCTATCATCTGGAATAGGATGCGCACTCTCTCGCCCCAAAAGGAAGCTCCCTGTACACCTTATTCCAGAGAGTGGTTGGCAAAAGCTAAGGCGTGCGGACCCCAGAGTCTGTGTTGGGAGTGCTGTTTGACTATCATCCTGGGAGGGGAGGTAAGCGGGGTCTCCTTTAAGCTGAACTTACTCCAAGGTGACATGTTTGGCAATGGAACCGTCTCAGTAGGCCAGTTCCTCAGCCAGGTGAGTCCGCAGTACTTCAACCTGGCTTTTCAACAGGGCTTAGAAAGGCAGACCAGTCACTGGGGGCAAGGATTCTAACTCAGCTCCTGTTATTTAACAACACAGTACTGAGTTTATCATGAATGTCTAGGTTTAGAACACTGTCAGGAGCAAGGCATGTGCACTGTAGCAGAGTTGCTACTGCAAGTTTAACTTTGCAAAGTGCACCGAGACTCTCAATACAATCTCATTACTGGGCAAATCATTTGTTGCTCGAGTGCATCATGTTACCTGACAAAATAAAACTTATTTTCAGCAAAAATACCTATTAGTATCTAGTACTCCAATAACTGCACGCTCAAACAAAGAGTTCCTCACACACGTGGCGTAAAATACATGCATGTGTCCACCCCAAGTGAAGAAGGTCCTGAAAACATTCTGTCACATAAATATACATATTTATGGCTGTTGTAGATGCTATTTAACAGCCTCACATAAAGGCTGTTAAATAGCATCTACAACAATGACAAGATTACATTTGTATAGCGCCTTTCACGTTGGAAGGACGTCCCAAGGCGCTGGACAGTGTACAGCATTTCAGACCCGAGCTGGGGTCTGAAGGGAGGGTAGGTGGCCGATGGCATGGCTGAAGTGGAGGATTTTGAGACGGGACTTGAAGGAGGCGGCGAGGCAGAGTGATTGGGGGATGGAATTCCAGAGGTTGAAGTTTAATTCCACTTTAAGCAGCTCAGTTGGTGCCTGACATGTTGTACCGCACGAGAAGGCTGAAGTCCACACCTGAGATTCTTTACATATGCATCATTGTTGGTGGGGGGGTATTGCAAAAGGGAGGATAATTCAATCTTACTCTGTCAACCAATTTAGAGAAGCACAAAGGATATCCTGCATGCCCTCTTGACAAAGAAGTGGTATGTGAAGTGAATAGGGAGGTGACCCTGCAAAGGCAAAAATATATTTACAAGTAGTTTCATGTTTCCCTTCTGCTCCTGTACAGATTTTATCTGAAACAAGTTGGGTGAATAACTACCTTACCCGTTGTGATGAGCAGGCATGAATTCAGACAGAGCACCCTCTACCAATGAATTAATTAGTGGAAAATAAAATGAGTCACTTGGAATATTTCATACTACAAAAACTCATTCAACCTCAAGACAATTTTTGCCCACCACTGGTGACAGAATACA